TTTCTTTCGTCCGCTCCTTTCGCTTCTGCCGCGGCAGTCGGCCCGGGATAGAGCCTCGGGGAGGCAGCTCGAGAGCGAAGTAGAGACGACGCCAGGGCTCAGCAGACAAAAGTGGCTGCGGCCAAGCTGAGTTCGATCCCCGGGACCCACGTGGCGGAAAGCGAGAGCCGGCTCCCGCAGGTCGTTCTCTGACCTCCACCGTGGCACACACACACACACACTAAATAAATGTGAATTTTTCTATAGGGATTGGGGTTTTCCCGGCATATATGCATGTGCCTGGTACCCGAAGAGGGCTTCAGATCCCCTGGAACTGGAGTTACCGTGTGGGTGGTACTGGAGAGCGCCAAGGGTTCTTAACTGCTGAGCCATCCAACCCTCAGGCAATTTAGTTTTTAAAGGTAAACAGCAAAATTCATGAAAGTTATCCCCACGGGTGTTGTCTATATTAAATGTGTTGTGCAGAGTTACAGGAAGCAATGTCAAGTTGAAACTTTGGCTGGGTTTTCACAGAATGACCACTGCGGTGATACTGTTCATTAGTCAAGCTGTTTGTTTTCTGTGACCTATGTGCAGATCGAGTCTGGTGTTCCTAGATTTCCGCAAACGAATAAAAGAGCAGGGCCGTTTTGTTTGATAACCTTTAGAGAACAAGCACTCTGCTTACTGCTAATAATATTTCAGTAAATAATATATGTATGTAATATAGTATTTATATTCCTCTACAAAAAGTTAGGTAAACTAAGTTTAGTTTTTTTAAAAAAAAAAAATGCCAAGTGTGAAGGACTGGAGAGATGGTTCGGCAGCTAAGAACACTGGTTGCAGTATCAGAGGACCCAGATTTGATTGATTCCCAGCACCCACATGGCAGCTCACAAACACCTGTAACTCCAGTTCCAGGAGCTCCAGTACCCTTCTGGCCTCGGAGAACACTGCAAGCACCAGGTGCACAGACATACAGGCAAAAAAATGAAAAGTGAAACTCAGAAAAAAAAAAAATGATAATAAATCTGGTGCTGGAAATTAGACCCAGTCTACAGTGGGAAACCAAAGTAGGTTATTGAGATAGTATTTGCCAAGGCTCTTTGGGAGTCAATTGTGTGGGTTTCTGTGTTATGAATGTTGTATGTGCATGGAAGGTTCCAACTATCTATACCTCTAGTTCCAGGAGTTCTGAGTCCCTCTTCTGGCCTCCGAGATCATCAGGCATGCAGGTGGCACACATACAAATGATGCAGGCAAACAGAAAATAAATCACCAGGCAGTGGTGGTGCCACCTTTAATCCCAGCACTCTGGAGGCAGAGGCAGGTGGGTCTCTGTGTTCCAGGCCAGCCAAGACTACACAGATGAGGTTCATGTGTGCCCGAAGAACTGGGGGGGGGGAGTCTCCTTTTTTAATGAAGCAAAGCTACAGTTAATTAAGAAAAAGGGTTTTAAACAGCAGGGTGGTGCTTGCCTGTAATCCCAGCAGCACACCGGGGGGTGAATGTAGAAGGAGTGAAGTTCAAGGCCAACCTAGGTTATATACAAGGCCAGTCTTGAGCAACACAAGACCCTGTCTTAAAAGAAGAAACATTGGCTAAGGGAGACATGTAAGAAGAAGGTAGGACGTGGGTACAAGCATCTCAAGAGAGCCTCATTCAAGTGTCAAGGGTGGCATTTTCCAATGCTGTACTGCTGAAAGAATTTAAAAGATTAAATTCCTTTAGTATTCTTTTAAAAGTTAGTAAGGTCACACTCTACAGCCTAAATTGAGATCAAACTATTGATGTTCCTTCCTGCCCCCACCTCCTGAGATTATGGTGGTGCACCACCACATCTAGACAGACTGCATTGTTTTGTTTTGTTTTAAGAAAAACCCTTTACAGTCCAGGTCTTTTATTTCTTTTTGTACATTAGGCCATGAATTCATATGGGATGGGCTCCAGCAGCTCAGGCTCCTTCCCGTTAGTCCTCACAAAGTGTGCCTCTCTGGGTGGCGCAGGCTGGCGCTTCAGCTGAATGAACCCAGGTGCCCTTCTCCTTGGCTTCCTTCTTCTGGCTGTTTTC